ATGGGCAACTGTATCTAAGACAGGACAAATTTAAGAAGCATGTGCACCGCTGTAAATAAAGCTGTTGCTCAGGTGCACTGTGCATCCATACAGGGAATGTACCTAGGAGGCAGTTGCAACACACAGAGTAAGACTAACAGGCGAGCAACTACCCTGACCTGTTCTACACAAAAGGTTTAAAAGATGATCATGTTCAATGGTTCAGACTAGGACAGCCTAGCTAGGGGAAGCACCCGCTGTTAACCACTGTAGGAACTCCAGGCAAGTATTGCTGTGTGCCTGCTTTGCTTCGCCCTTCTATTTACCCAGTATTCCACCAGAGCCCACAGAACACGTGTTTCAGGTGAGTCTATAGGTCACTTACCACAGTGGGCTGACTCATGAAGTATTGCTGCTCAGCTCAAAGCAGACTTGATCTTCATAATGAAGTCATCTCTCGTTTATTAGCAAGCCAGCAGTCGTGCTTCTCAGAAGCCCAAGATTTTGGTGAGGATAATCCATGGTGCTAAATGTGTCTGTTATCTGCTTTAGCTGCGGAGGCTTTTGCCTTGCCTATGCAGTAAAACTGTACACTACAGATGCCATTTGTTCAAAGCAGGCAGTTAAAAATGATAAACAGATTGCAACTTGTCATGGTAACTTGTTAAGAGAAGCATCAAGATCTTTTACTATTAAAGGAAGGAGAGCATTTTTAAGCAGTTGGTGAAGCTGAAAAAACCCTCTTGCTTTCAGATGTTTTTTTTGCAGAAAAGATGTATTAAGAAAGTTCAGAGGTGGGTTTTTTTTTTTTCCCATAGGAAAATTAATTGGCTTGTTCTCAGCTTCTTGGAAACTGGGAATTCAGCCATTTTCTTAATTGTAATGCCTACCTGTTTCACTGCCACTGCCAAATTTTGAACACAAGATATCCTGTAAGAGAGGATTCTGCCTTTGTCTGAGCACCTGCCATCCTGCTCTGCTCCCTCGTTTGCCAGACACGCTAAAAAAAATCCCCAAAACCTTCAAAGGCCAAACCAATAAAATCCAGCACTAAGCTTCTTACATGAGTGTCAGTTTAACGTGGTAGCAGGCTGGTGAATAATGCTGAAGCAAGTTTTGACACAGAGCCTTAGCCTCTTCATCCTCCTCTTAAAAAAACCCACAGTGTATATTTATGGGCACATTTCAGTATAAAACATCAAGAGCAGTAAAAAAGAAAGAGTACGTTATATGACCATATCCAACATTTTCTGCAAAGATAATTAACAGCTCTAGGACAGTTAATTTACATGTTAATGAAAGTGTTAGCAGGAAAGCCAATTAAAGTGGATTTATACAAGTCAAATAAAATCTGCTTTACTGCTCTCCTTGAATAACAGAAGTATGTAGCCTTTAGCATTATATCTTATGTCTATGTATGTGGCAAGCTGCCCACTGAAGTATGAATCCCTGCAGCTAGCTGGTTTATACTAACAGTGACAGCATATACAGTTCAATTGCAGCAAATCAAGGGAAAGGAACAGACAGTCCAGCTGCAAAGGTTACAGCAAAGAATGAGGAATCGCCTGTCTCGATATATTATCTTCCTCACTGGTGCCCAACACCCCAGCCAAGTGTTTTTTCAGAGGCAGGTGCTTGTGACCTGGGTTCTAGTTTTAATGCTCAGGAGAAGCTAAGCAGGGCCAGACTTGCTCTGCCTTTGGGAAACCACTACAGAAAACTCAGACGGCAGGAGGCGGTGATTCTTTCCTTCTCATTCAGGATTAAGCTGGGCCCCACCACAATGTGAAAAGAGGCTAAGTAACGTGAACCATCGCTAGCTGGCGTCCACAACTAGGGAGCCCACAGCACGGCTCTGTCCTCAGCTCTGCTGCCCATTTTCACTAGGACGTTATCAGTGGAAACCAACGTTCTCAGTGATAGCTATCAGTCTTGAGGGCCGTATAATGGGTGGCAGGGAGTGGCTATCCCATGACATTTTTCATGTTGTGAATCCAGCACTTGGAAATCTTAAAATTGTTGACAGTGGCTGTGAAGTCAGGCATGAATAATTTACCAGATGCAAGTATATAAGCATCTGTGTGCTTATTTAATGTGAGAGATTTTGGCAAGTGTGAGCTTGCCAAGGACCCTGTAGTACAGCAACTTTACGTTGCTACAGGCATCCTTGTTGTTCAGCTGCATTCGTGTTTGGGGTGGGTAAGTGGTTCTCCTTGGTATAGCAACTGCCCGATTTAGCTTTTTTGATCACTGAAACAAACAAAAAGAAAGCGAACCAAAACCAAAATATCGTTTAGATTTCCACTCTGACAAAACAACATTTTTGCTTTTTCCTTTTTGTCCAGAATTGACTTTTTCACCAGACAGAGCATTCCTCCTTTCTAGCTAAGCTGCTCTGCCTGACACCATGGAGCACAAATCACAGTGAAAGCCCGTTTGCACTACTGTAATCACAGCAATTAAAAACTTGATGACTGTTGCTACTAGAAATACCAATACAGTTGTACAAGAGTGCTGGACAAGTGCATGACGATTGACAAATTCCTATTAGCCCTCCCTTCCTGTCTGACTATTTTAGTCTTGGATGCCACAATGCAGACGAAATACCATCTTCTCAGACAATTCACACATACCTGCCAGCCACATCCGCAGCTGGGTTCCCAGCTAGATGGGATTACGGGCATAGTTTACATATTTACATAAAGGCACTATTCGGAATTAATGGTACACCAGGGAAGCACGAAAGCATACATTTCTAATGGGAAACAGACATGAATTCTACGCAACAGACCCTCTGACCCTTGAACCAATGTCTGTACGTGGTTTAGGAGGCACTTCTGCAAAATCTAAAAGCACAACTAAAAACTGTTCAGTTCGGCAAAACTGATGACCGGCTGCACCCCCCAGTACTATGCCTCTTACAGAAGATGAAGGGTAAACATTACATTCTTCCAGCATGAGACAATCACTAAAATATAATGCAGGTCTTTAACAAAAGTGAACATGATCCAGAGCATTCATTTGGCAGATCATTTCACCTTTAATACCTTTTGTGGCATATCTAGTACATGTTTAAAAACACATTTCATTACTGTATTCCAAACAAACCCAAACCCAACACCCCCTGCCCACAAATATTAGTTTTAAAAGTTACACATATATACATACAGTTACAAAAAGGAGAAAGTTACCTCAAGACTTCCAGTTACAGTAACAAAACATAGATGCATTTACTGAGATTAACGTGTAATGTAATTGATCTGAATCCCTGTAAGCCGAAGAAGTCTATTAAAATCGATACAAGGTTTGTCATGCTAAACACGTATTCACGGTTGGGGGGAAAAATACTCTTTTTGCTAGTGTAGCGCTGTACATTCTCTGTACTACTCTTGTGAATTTTACTTTGCAATTCCAGCAGGTCAAGGCTCAACTTCCAAAAGTGCATTTTCAGATGTAGTGTTCTCCTGGGCTAGGGTGCTCTCAAGTGGGAACAGCTGAGGTGGCCTCAGGACCTGGCAGGACTGCAATGGCCACTGGCGCCTGCACCAAGCCCATGCAGAAGTGCAAAGCACGTCCCACCTCTTTCACAGCCATAATTTTAACTAAGGCCAGTGATATTAGATCCATCTCACATAAGTGATGCTAAGAGACGTCTTAAGCCTGTCATCAATACAGGCCTTATTTAACAAATGGTCAGCTAGGGCAGTTTAGCCTAATCATAGCCTATGTTTGTTTTCAGAGAGGGTTGGGGGTGGAAAGAAAGGAAGGAAAGAGACGACAATTAGACTACGCTGCTTTTAACTACATTGCAGTAGTTAACTATTTAAGACTTTAAAAAAGTGGCTGAGCACTGCCATTTTTTTCTAAAAATACTTACTTCTCACCAGTACTGTTAAGATATCCTTAACATAAACATAAACTCAAAGAAGACAACACTGCTGTTTTTCTCTATAATACACTTGGGCTTCAAGAAACCAAAACGTCTGGGATCTTCTGCATTTCCAGTGGGAACTTATGATCACCTGAATTTTTTCCTGCTTTACTTTTTCTCTACCTGAGCTCCAAACTCTAAGCATCAACTTTTTTGTCAGGGCCCACATTTTTCTTACTCCACTTGAACATTTTCAATGCTCTTCTTTAAATCAGCTACATAAAGAGTTTCTAAATGAGTAACATGAGCCAGGGATTTGAACGTACCATCTTCTCGGCATGTCCCAAGCGTGCAGCAAAAGAGCTAAGCCTCTGTTCTATATCTTCCATGCGAACAAGCACAGAATTGCCCTGAGTCTGACTAAACACACACTGTCCTAAAGAAAGCAATCTCACAAGTTGCCAAGATTAAGAGAGAAATGTACAAGAAGGTGAACAATTCTTTTGTTTTGTTTTCATTTATACAAACAGATTAAAACAACTACAGTTGTCTGTGCAAGACAACCTATCAGCCTACCTCGTTCTCACGCAGGAAACAGATGCCATATTTGCTGACAAATCTGGGTGGTCTATTAAATGAAAAGGCAAATTACAAAAACTCCTGTAATTGGGCCACTAGACCAAAATGCTACCTTCATTCACTCGGACAAATTTCTTCAGGCTCCAGTCAGACTGCTTAACATGGACAGTAAACCAAAGCGTTGAGGCAGCCACATGCTGCTTCTCTCCTTTGACACAACAAATAACCACCTCAGTTAATTGTTTCTGATCCTCTCTATAAGACGTTACTCCCAGATGTATATTTACTTTAATGAGACCACCTACCTCCAAGAGCAAGCTTTTTTTTTTGGTGAAAGAAAATATCCTGGGCATTCTCCATAGTCCAGCTGTGTTGCTCCAGAGGGCTATCTGTAGACTAAGTGAAACTTTTCTTCCCCATCCCCTCCCAGCCAAATTGCTGGAGAATTTACACACATTTTGTTGACAGATCATGGTCACTATAAGCCAACACACATTTTCTTTTTGCCAAGTTTATAGGACTTCAGTTTGTATTTGTTTTGAATATATTTTAGAAATAAGTTGGAGAGGTGCTCAAGTTGGAGATGTACTGAAAATTATTTTAGCAGCAGATACTATTGACATAGTATCTTTGTAGTTCTGCAGATCCACTAACAAATGTTAGGAGAACTTACTGTGTTACACTAAATGGAGGAAATAAGCAGCCAAGGATGGCAAAAACTCAGTCTCCAAGTTCTTGGGCTAAAACATCCTGAATGAACTTCAATGTACGTTGGTACAGGAAAGCATCCTTCTTCTTTGGCTTACAAATATTTAGATGATTAACATCCACTGGAATAAGGTCTCCAATTCCTAAATCTGGGAGAGGGGGGGAAAAAAAAAAAAAGAAGAAAAAACTACCGAAGTTCGTAAAGTCACCTAGACTGAAAAGCACATCTTGCATTAGCAATTTTTCTCTCAAAAGCAACTTCTCCTGTCTTCAGTTTAACTGTTTTGTCTTCATTATTTTTTAATGTGCTAAAAGCATCAATACACACTGTTATAGTCAGATAGAGCTATACATTGCTACAAAACCCACACTGGTAAACCATGAAGTCAGAGTTCTACTATCTTTATTAGGAATACACAAATGTACCTTTCTCCATACAGACAACTTTGAAAAATCAAAACTTCATTGACCAGCACCTGACTGACAGCAAAGACCTGACTGAAGTTTAAGCATTGACATGAACAGGGATAGGGTTTAATCCAGGATGTCCAGATTCTGATCATCACTAACTGCCCTTTATATTCCTTATAAAATACTTTGATGTGGAGATTAAAAATGGGACTAGAATGAACCCGAAATATAGTACAAATCACTACACACATTTCCGGGGAAATGAAAAAATTACATTGCTTAATTGTAGAATACAAGTATTCCATTTTCAGCTACTGGTTTTGGGGCACACTCCAGCATTTATTCTTTCCTGACAGCTATCGCTACTAGTGAACTTCCCAGTTAGGATGCCACATTCCAGTTTACCTATTCACTCAACCTCCTGAGAAATCCTCCATTTTGCTTGGAACTCTGTATCTGTAACCATGCAAAATTACACTAGAGTGGGATGAAGTTTGCTTTCATGTGCCCAAGCATGCATGTAAGAAACAGTGAGTGCACTGCTTGTCAGCCTGGGTTTTCAACAAAACGAGTGGCATGCCACTGAACCGTCATGTACCCTCTAAAGGCTTTTGAGAGCTCATGTGCTGCATTGTGTGTCATCTCTAGAAGAGGAGAAATATGCTACAAAATTATAAGTGCACAGTGCTTATTTGTGCACTCTGTCATCCAGCCCTCTTTTTCATTTTATTTTGTCAAATAAAAAAAAAATTAATGCCCAGTTTTTCAGTCCTTGTCAATAAAATTGCATCAGCAACATTTTCGCAAACAATTGCTTCTTGAGAAGACATACTGAAAAAAATACTGCTAAATATTGACTCAGGAAAACAGGGATGTACAGTCCGCCTTTTTCAGAGCAACTAACCTTGCATTTCACCTAGTGGATTTAGCTGGTGGAAAGCCTGATCTAAAACCCAACAAAGCAATGGTTTCTGTTCAAGGCCTTACGGGTACCTTGGGCAGTGCAGAAGAGGGTTTTGCTCAGGGAAAACTTGAAAATGTCAGACTTAAAACAATTTTTGAAGTTAAACACCCATAAACAAAGCAAGAGAAAGAACTGTCTGGTTTTCCCTTCTCCTACAAAAGGCAAAAAGATGGAGGGAACTCTCAGGAGGCAAACTCTATTGCTTGAGTACCTGAGATATGGAAGACAAAGGATTCTTAACAGTGAAAAACAGCTTTGTCACTTTTTCTTTCCATTAGCAGTTTACTAATTTTCTTTCTTATTTTTTAAAGGAGGAAATAGCTGGAATTTGCGGGAGCTTCTGAAACACTATTCAGCCTACCTATACAAGGATAAACAACAGTTACTCATAATTACAAAGGAAAGGACTACAACAATGTAACATTAGACCAGGATCTACCCTGTTTTTTTTAACAAGTGTTACTCGCATTTAGAAAAATCAAAACAAACAATTGCTATGCTAAGATATAAATGTAGCTGCCTCTGATCTCAGCAGGGAGACTGTAGTTTAAACTCAGCCAAAAGTTTAAACAAAAAACCCCACAACATAACAGATGTATTTTTCTAGGTCTTTTTACCGTATCATTTATAATCCTTCCTCGTTATCGATGCTTACATGAATATATACAAAATTAAATAAATTAAATGGCTATTTGACTTACTTGCTGATTCCAGAGGTACAACATGCAGTTTTATCATGCTGCCTATGTGTGTTGGTAAGGTTTCTGCAAAACTCAGCACTGAAAATTTCTTATCTTTGGCAAAAGAGAGGAAGTCGTCATTCAGCTCTTTAAGGGCAGGAGAATCTGAGAAAGAGCAACATAATTTTTGCAGTGTTATCTTGAACATAAGATTATAGCATTTGTCTGGCAAGACTGCATTCCTAAAGAGATGTTTTGGAAAAATTAATACTCCAGTAAAAGGAGTAGCATTTTGTTTGTAATCCCTTTTTCCAGCTATCATATGCAACAATGGTTTATTTCTGCATAGCATGGAATTTTTTTAGAAGATAAGAATCTGAAGTCCAACACATGTTGAGTTACTACATGGCTAAATGGTCCAAACTACTCTTCTATAAACTTGTTCTGACTCCCTTTTTTCCCCTCGCCTCTGCAATCAAATGAAACAGTTACTCAAAATTACTTACAGTAATTCAACACACAACACAAAATATAAAAACGTTTTTTTTTGTTCTTATCCAGCTTTTTCTGACAGCACGATTAAAAAAAAAGCATCATGAACAGATTAGCATAGATCCCCGCTGTTAAATGGTAGCAAAGAGAGCGTACCCTTGCTGAGTTCTTTAACCTCCACAGACGGAAAAAGAAGATATCTGGCATTTATAGAATATTCAGCCAGCTGGGAACCATGGTGAGGTACGCTATAAAATATGATTCCTCTGGTGTTGTTTACAATTTTATCCATTTCTGGATTCTTGGAAGCATCCACCAGCATCTTTTTGACTAGAAGACCTGGCAACAGAAACTGAATTAATGCAGGGATTTAAACCACTGTGAAAATAACGATCGTGCTATATTACCCATGAAACAACTAACCATATTCTTTCCTCAGTTGATTAGCCTTACTTTATCAAATATGTAAGATTAAGTTGGAAAAAACCAAACCAAACCTGAGGAGGCATTAAAAGAAAATGTCAATGAATGATACAAATCCAATTTTGGTTTGCTTTAAGTGTTGCTAATGACATTTACTATATGCCTGATCATGGAGAAAATTTTGCCTCTGGATTCCCATTTACATGAATTTCAGCTCACTGATTTTGTGTTTTTAAATCAACACAGTAAAAACAAACAGCAATAAAAATCCTTTCAAAATCTATATGCTATTGAATAAAATGCATTAAGAAAGTAGAAATCTATTTTCCATTTATGGTCTTTGCAAATTTTTTAGATAAACTATTCTGAATAATTGCATTTCAGACTGAATTTGGCTAATAGCTTATTCTGAAATATAACAGCAAATAACTACTTTATATCAAACAGGCAATGTGCTTACCACCCATGCTATGTGATACCCACACCAGAGGTCTGTCTCCAATCCCAGCAGCTTTGAGCTTGTCAAGAAGCTCATTGCTCCTGTAAGCAATAGACTTCCTGCAAAGAAAAAACAAACATAAGGATGATAAAGCATGATAAGTTAAAAGGCAATGTTAAAACAGAATGAATTTTCAGTGCTGCACGCTTATGAAAGTGAATTAGGTACGTAAAACATTAATTACTTAATTATTGTTGCTACATTGAAAAATGCCAAAAACTTTTGTAAGGTTGGCTTCACAAGGACAACAGGAATTCAGCTAAATTCAGTTTCTTAATCTTGCTAGAAAGTTTTTTTTTAATTTCACTCACCACTGATTTCTTTTAATTCGACAAATCTCTTTATGGAGTTTTAGATAGTTTCATTCACACACTGCAGAAAATTGTGTTTTCATTTTATGACAGCATCATCAATGCATAATGAACTTTATCCCCTGAAACAAGAATATACCTAATGTCTGACAAAAATGTACTTTGCTAAACAATGCTCAAAATGTGGGGCAATGTACAAATTAATAGCTAAGTGCATGATCAACCAATACATTAAAAAATCACAGATAATGTCTGTTATACTTTCCAGACAATAATCTCCAAATGCTTTGTACTGGAATAGTATAAAAGCACAACAATCTCCACTTTATAAATGAAGAGAATGAGCTCTGGAGAGGGTAAGCTACATGTTAGAGGTTGAAAATGAAATCTGTTGTACAACCAAAACCAAACCAATGCCAATTCCCAAGCTTTAAAGTGCAACATTGTTACTCCTTGCAGTGTAACAAGAATCAAACATAGAAGACCCTTGGATAATGAAAACATCAGGATATTGGGGCAACAACTGTGCAAAGTAATTCACTTCATCTTTATTGGTTCTCAGCATTCTCACTAGGAATTGCTTTTATAACACATACGAAAAGGATACTCAAACGTGTCTTCTCGGCTGAACAATAAGCTTTAGGATAGCTGAGAGACATAAAAATTCACTTTTGAAACAGTGAACGAGCCTATACACTTAGAGCAATCATAAGGTTGTCATTCTACTGCTACATCTTTGTTCGTGCTAGTTAAAAATATCTTCAATATCTTTCATTTTTTATTAACTATATCAAATTATAAATAATCAAATACTCCGCTTAGGTGACCAAAAATAGCAGGTAATGTAATTTTCCATTTTTTAATGAAAAAGACATTATCTTAAAATAAATAAAGAAATCTATGTTTATTTCTTTTTCAAATTTTCTTCCAGTATACTTACTCCAGACTGACACAGGAAAAAAGTTCTCTTAGAATCATAGGATCATTTAGGTTGGAAAAGACCTTTAAGATCATCAAGTCCAACCATTAACCTAGCACTGCCAAGTCCACCACTAAACCATGTCCCTAAGCACCACATCTACACGTCTTTTAAATACCTCCAGGGATGGTGACTCCACCACTTCCCTGGGCAGCCTGTTCCAAGGCTTGACAACCCTTTCCGTGAAGAAATTTTTCCTAATATCCAATCTAAACCTCCCCTGGCACAACTTGAGGCTGCTTCCTCTTGTCCTATCGCTTGTTACTTGGGAGAAGAGACCAACACCCACCTCACTACAACCTCCTTTCAGGTAGTTGTAGAGCGCGATGAGGTCTCCCCTCAGCCTCCTTTTCTGCAGGCTAAACAGTCCCAGTTCCCTCAGCCGCTCCTCATAAGACTTGTTCTCCAGGCCCTTCACCAGATTCGTGGCCCTTCTTTGGATGCAAAACAAGGTACAAGGTCTCTCTACAAGGTCCAGTCTTCTTTGGACCTTGTAGAGGTAACCACCTACATGTTTTTTACTGTCATTGTTCTGCCTAATTTCAAATAGGCATATTAACAGCCATGTCTTCCATATTTTTTCCCTGCTTACATGCTTTCTTTAATGCAATAATTGCATCGATCCTTCATATATCCATAGGGAGGAGGGAATGAACAAGTACCAAGCTCCCAGTCTATTATACACATGCTGAATTTTTTTCTCCCCTACACAAAACATAATCAATTTTCAGATTCTTAACCTGTGAGCAGTCATGCACATGCCTTCACTGAAGTACACAAGTTGAATCTACAGTGCTAGTTACATGCTTAAGTATCCGCATAAGTGTTTGAAGGTCTCAGATTAGGATCTGATGTAAAGATCACTGAACTCAGTTACTAAGTCTAAAATCCATTCAAGCCAAATAACCTTTACAGGCTGAAAGTATTTTTATTTTTCAGAAGGACCATGTTTGGAGGTAGCATCTTCCTCTGACCTACCTGGTTCATGGTCAGTAAAAACGCAATTCGTCTGACAAGGGCAATTACACTATCTGACCAAATCCAATACAGTTGCTGGTTTTTATCTATCAAAGACTTAGATGAATCTCTTTCCAGGGATTAACACTTCTTGAATAAAATTACATGCTTCATTTTTTCAGGAGTATAAAGTCATAATACTGTGATTTTTTTGCTGTGCTTGTAAAGCATTATTGGGTCATTTTAAGTTTAAGAAATATTCTCCTTAAGTTATAAAATTGACGTTATATTTACATCATCTAATAGCATAATTCAGTGTCTCCCCTAAACATGAAGCAGAACAGACTGTAAGAATTTAAGAAGTTGCCACAAGTAGTTATCCATGAGGCTAAAAAGCTCGAGCATTCCATTATTGTACCTAATGTTTTTCCAAACTTGATTTTCAAATGCATCAGGAGAAGTTAAATTCACTGTTTCACACCAGGTGATCCCAAGGATCGGCTTTACAGTTCTCCCTCCTGCCCCCACTCCAAACTGCAGACATTACATTTGTTACCTGTGAGCCTCAACAGGACATTTTGCTTTCCAGTCACTCAAATGGGTGTCATATTCCACAGATACGATTCTAAGGGCAGGACAGTCTGAAGCCAGCCATGTCTAAATTGAAGAAAAGGGAAACCAAAAGGAGCTTGCAATTGAAGTACTTAACAAACTCTTGCAAGCAATTTACCAGCAAAGGAGTAAAGATGTTACTATGGGGACAATATCAAGCAAGATTTCTCCTCTTCTGTTAATCCCCAAATATACCTTACAGCTAGACTATTATTCTTTTATCACATGCTGGCGAACTCTAGCCGGTTTCCCAGCCACAAAATAAATAAAGGATGGAGAAGGATTACTAACTTGCACATTCCTGGCTCCCTCTCCTGGGTGAAACAAGAATTACTAAGATTACCAACAGGACTGATCAGTTTAAGGTTTACAGGGATACTTCGGTGGTTATACCAATGTGAGTTACTTGAAGCAGTAATTATTTATTTACCAACAATATTTAAACAGCAATCTCTAAAAATTGAGGTACTCGGACACCTATGTAAGAAAGGATACTTAATTTAAAATGTAATTTTATGTATCTCTTTCTCAGCAATAACATTCCATCAAAATAAAAAAAAAAAGAGCATGAGGAAAGCAGCCATTGCCTCCTCTTTCACTAGCAGGATAATCATCGTGACAGCATTAAATTTAGCAGGGATTTTCCTTTGCAAGAACAACCTGTTCAAAATTTCAGCTTGCTAACAAAAATACATCAGGAACTTGGAAAGTGCTACTTGTATAATAGACTACAAGTCATTTGATTCAAAATAGACAACTGCTAGACAGTGTAATTCTAGATCCTCTGGACAGCTCTCATTAATGAGAAAACAGCAGCCACATGCGAAAATGTTACTGTCTTTTTACCTTTGGCCAACATTGACTATAGTCCTCCTCCCCTTGTGAAGCCTTTTTATCCAAATGCCGGTCAATGTCTTGCTGCCGCCAGGTTTTAAATGCTGCTCCCAAAAGACCATGAACAAAGAGGATGTCTGCTCTGATGGGCTGACTGATACAGAAAAAGGAATTTTTAAGAGATGCATATTCTTCTAGCAAATTAAATTTACACAGAACTTTTAACCTAAGGAATGCCAAAATACTATTTTTAACACTGTATGTGATATCTTATGGACAACATTTCATGACATTTCACGATATTTCAAGGAGGACACTCAGATCAAGACAAAAAACAGGGATCCACCCAGAAGAGAGAGATATAAAAAGAGGTATGGAAAGTACCCACCTCACAAGTCGTATTTTTATATAATGAAAAACACCATTCTCTCCAGCTACTGTTAATGCAGCTTGATAGTTCCAGCTTTATCGTCAAATTAGATCTTCACTGTAACCTGACTAACACCAGTGACCCAGGGAATAGTTGCTACTAAGTGACATACCATGTTGAAGTGGTATCTGCTTCAGCCCCAGATACACAATCACTATTAAAAGAAGCTGAAGCTGTAAATTTACTGCATCTTAGGCCAACATGTGCTGCGCCAACAGAATAATTACAAGGCACTGTATCCCAGTACAGCCAGTGCAAAGGTTAAATGGTTGCAATGCATGCAAAGCAACAATTGATCTCGTGGTTTGTGTTTGGATTTTTCCATGCAGTACAATAATACTCCTTTCATGGCTATGGACTGCTCCCATCACTTCTGTTGTTCTCCTATTTGAGGATCTAAATTCAGTCCTCTCAACCCACCGAAGAATAGGAGGAGCAGGTGACATGAGTACAGCAGCACTCTGACGTCAAGTCTTCCAAAGTTTTGTACCTGAACAGTATAAGAAGTAACTCAAAGTTCAGCATGTACAATATCTCCTTCTGCTTTACCTGCTACGATATTGTGGATGCAAGACATAAACACCATCTGGATACTTTTCTTTCACTGTGTCCCTGTCTAGATTAGCCAAAGCTCTGGATGCATGAGAAGACTGAATGACATGGGGGGATTTCATTACTTCAGCAAGTACAGAAACCCAACCTACATTGAAAAAATAAAGCGGCAGGTTAACTAATTAGGAACATCATCCAAACAAAAGAATTCAGAAACATCATCCTTCAAAGTATACTTGTGAAAATAGATGTTAAAACTGAAGAGTGGTAATATCAAAACAAATTATGTCAATCCACTCTCTTTACTGCACGAAAGCCAATGTTATATAAGTGGAACCTCCAAAATGCAAAAATGCAGAGTAGTGAGGAGGCAATGTATTTTAGTACTGTTCAGCTTATGACCTGAAGGAGATCCCCTTCTCAGAAGAAAAAGAAAGTATATCAGCAGGTCAGGGCAGCTGTCAGAGAGAGAACAGCTCTCGAGCCTCTTTTTGCAGGTAAGATGCAAGAAAGACAGAGAAAAGAAATGTCCCAGAGAGAAAATGAAGTTTAAAGCATAAGACAGACATAGAAAACAAACCACAGGAATAATGGCAGGTGGAAAAATTGATGCTTGCTGTGAGAATACAACAATTTCTAATTTTAAAATCCAGTGTGTGAAGAACTGTTCAAGGAATTAACATGTCCTTGCTATTCTAAAAATAGTATACTATTTACACCTAAGAAACATAAGAGAATTAATGAAGGAAACCTTTGAATACATTCCTCAATAAAATTTTAAGTCACAGCTACCTCAAGAAAAAACAGACACTTTATAATACTTTAGCTAAGATGTAAAATATAGTTTCTTAGACATAGATGGGGATGTTCATGGACTACTGAGAAATGCAAAGGACTATCTTTTATACACACACAGACACATATATTTCTATAAAATCCTGATAAATCTTGTTGCTGTTAGCAAGAGTGGTCTGTAAATCACAATTACATTGAAGTCAAGTGCATGAAAAAAACCTGGGAAGACTTTGAAGAGAGATTTTCAAATGGAGGCTGATTTGAAAAAGAAACAATGTACTTAACGAGCACTGTTTCAAAATCATGCACAGTACGTTGTTAATAAGATAGCCAGCATGTTGCTAATTCAAGATAGTTAGTTCACTATGGAATTAGGAAAAGAATGAATTGACACATGAATTTTGTTTAAATGAAGTACCTTTGAGAACTGTCAAAAAAAAAACCTTTTTAAAGAATTATGTATTTAAATTACATTTCTAAGCAGAATAGATGTTGACCGCTGTTCTCCTTAAGAAGAACACTATCTAAAATCTATTTTCAGTTCTCCAAATACAATGAAAGACTGCCAAGCTAGTCTGCTTAAAACTAGCAAGGTCTCTGGTTTTGCATTTCTCTTCAACGAGCCAAGACAAAGGGTCAAAAATAGTGTTCAGAATCCTTCTGCCCCCAGATACCCCATCACAGCTACTTCACAGTGCATCATTGCTTTTCTTCCTCTTCCTGTACCAGCAGTTTTTGCAAAGGAAAAGAGCCTTAGAGGTTCTTTCTTCTTATGCATCATCCAGCAACAAAAGAGAAGTCTTAACAACTCTTGACCAGCAGCATCCAACTGCTCATCTCTGGAATCCGGTTCACTGTCTAAAATTCCGTTTGCACTGACAGCTCCGTCCCAGGGAGCTGCTGACTCTTCTGTTACGATCTCTTCCTCTACACGTATGGTTTTAACAGTCATCATAAGAATGTAAAATGGTGCTAGAGCTCAGATCAAAGGCCTTTGTAGCCCAGCTATCCTTCACCCAAAGTGAGCAGTAATGGAAGTTGCGGAACAATAAAAGAATAGAGCAATAAAAGGGCAAGTATATAGTACTGATTCTCCACTATACCCTCTCAGTTTTCTACAATCAGCTTGGCTTCTGTGTGTAGAGCTTTATGGATTTTTCTTTCCATGAATTTGTCTAATCATTTTTTGAAGCTTTGTAAGTCTTCAACAATCATAATGTTTTGTGGCAAGTTTTAGTTTGGTCACACATTGTATGGAAAAAAAAAAATATTTATTTGTTCTGCCTCTTGATAATTTAATGTACAAGAGCCTTTGGTCTTGTATTACGAGAAACAGCAGATGCCCATTCCCTCTTTGCCTTTTCTACACCAGTGAGTATTTTATAAGTCTCCATATTATATTCTCCTTCAGTTGCTTTTTTCGTACTAGGTGTCTTAGTCTAGTTATTTGTTCTTTCTAAAAATTTGGAATGGCTGTGGTAAACAACCTCACGGTCTTTCCCTGTGCCTTTGCTACTCTCCTTTTTGCAACAGGGAGATTAAAAATGCACACTGTGCTTAAGAGGCAGACACCAGCTCAGACGTATACAAATACTGATATTTTCTATTTTTCTTTTTATTTCTTTCCTAATAAAACATTGGGAATTATTTATTTGGTACAGAACTAGAAGGAATAATTTCATTGTGATATTTAGGGGGTATTAAAAAAAGGGCCATCAGAGCAAAGCTTAGCAGAAGTTACTAGCCTAACATGAAACAAGGGAGGGCGGGAAGACATGTTTCACTTTATTCCAAAAGGTAAGAACTGCAAGCTGGTCTGTTCCTTTATGAGATTAAAACACAGTCAATAAAAAAAAAAAAGTTAATCTACACGGTAGATGATCTGTAAGAGTAGGAAACTCAAAAGATTTTTGCCAGTAATGTGAACTGAACATCAACTAAGTCCATATTTTCACCATCCATCAGACTTAGAGCACTTAGTTCTCTGTAGCACAGACATATATTGGCTAGACAGCACACAGGAGTTTCTAATCAACACCATCTAAACTGTCTATACTTGCTTGTATTAAAAAAAACGCAACAACACCGCCTCCCCATTCCCCCAAATATAAAAAAAAATACCACTGCCATGGTCCGTTGCATTTTACAAAAGCATTGAATCCTCTGAAAATTTTAGAATAGAAATCTGACATTCAGACTGCTTGCACATGCTTTCCTTTTACCTGCACGTACTATGGACGAATGAAGACGTTCATCCAAAGCCATATTTCCAATAATGCGAATTATGTTCCTTTGTATTTTTGCTGAATCTTTACGTAGCTGGTATATCCTCTGTAGTAGCTGAAGGCCTCCTTTAGCTTCAATTTTATCACAGTGAGAAGAAACCTACCATTATACAGTAAATATAATGACAATAAGTAGATGTTCTGCAAAAGATTCTTTGAGATGCTGTTAATTCACAAATCAGGGAATTTTAAGGAGCCAATAATGATGCAGAGACCTTATTACATAAAAATTCTTATTAATCTAGAATTTATTATGCCATAGTTGAAGAGGAAGTAAATATTTTAATATGCTAAATGCATGATCTCTATGAATTGACAACCTGAAAGATGCTAAGTGCCATGACTCTACTCTCCTCCACATCTGAGGGAGATGAGATTGCTCTCCACTTGGCATAATCAAATTTCAACTAAAGTTCAAGAGTCTGAACAGGACAATTGCCTGCATTTGTTAAAGCACTATCTCAACCAGAACTACTTGTCTTCCTGTTCACCACCTAAACTGCAATCATTATAATCCCTTCTCTTTGAAATGCAAAGGTATTTCTACTAAGTAGTACTGCTATAACCATCTGATCTTAAGGGCAACAATAGATTCTAGTCCAAGCAGATGAATATGCACAATTAGTTGTAGTGTCAACTACTGATATTGGCCAAATGCTTATGACTTCAACATGTTGTCTACAGTGCTTAAAAATGTGTGGTAGTTATGGAACTGCTGATGTCCTCAAGTCTGTGGCTTTCAGCAAAGACAGACACACATTAGGAATGAGTACAGTCACAACTTTTTTAAACTGAAAATCTGGAATAAAGCAAATTCTAGACTATTCCATATAGTTCCATGTATATGGAAGATGTGAAAGGAATACTGGCAAACTGCACTTTATCCATCCCTACTATCAATAACAACTTGGTATTCTCAATGCTGTTTCTCAGTGTTCTAGGCTTCTGAATAATTAAGTGCACACTGAAGAGCGCAGCAATAGCAATCAAGAAGAATTATTGTTACACAAAATCTTCCATACTCTTCATCTGTGTCTGCAAAGAACGGACTGGTCCTGGGAATGCACTGCATTAGCAGCATGCTGTGCAATATTCTGCCCAAAGGCAGTGACCCTTAAAGGAGGGACCTTTGTGATTAGCCAAGGTTTGCATTCCATTCTGGCTTCTGATTAGAGTGAACTCATGAGGCTACTTTGCTTTCTGGAAACCTGGCACTAGAGTTAGATTAAAAGCCATAAGAAGAGACCGCTTGTAAGCTTTCTGAACTGATGTACACCAACTTACACAAATCCACACACACTTTGCACTGAGAATTTCACATTACCAGTATCTTGCTTACTGAGAAGCTGCAGAGTGGAAGCTGCTCTGAGTGCCAGTGGGAGGTAGCCCTACACAGGAAAGACTTGTTAAAGCCATCTGGACTTAAGGCACTCTCTCTCTCCTTCTTTTCTGTGTCAGAGCTGCCCTTTTACTTCTTGAAAGATATATACAGATATACTACAGAGCAACTTATATGGGCTAATTAGAAACAATAACAGAACTTACATACACTTCCCACAAGAAAAAACGAGTTTGTTATGCTGCCTTCCAATTCACATCAGTCTCAGTTGTCTGAACATCCTTACAGAAGGGGTGAGGGGTAGGAGACAAGGAAACGGCAACTCCTTCCCAATATATGAGACAGCACTAGAAAGGAATGTTTATAAATGTAGCTTTTCAGTTATAGTTTAAAGGACAAATTACCTTAGAATGCTGTACTAAAGCTTGCAAGCAAAAGAGTTCCACTGTCTCTGAAGGGATTTTACTCAATGTCTCACAATATGGAAGTCCATTTCCTCCAAAACACCATAAGCCTCCCTGAAATGAGAATCAGTAAAAATTATACCACATTCCAACTGGCTACATAAAATAAGCATTTCTAAACTAAAACGTTAAATGTGTGTAATGATCTATAGAAATTGCTATAAAGAACGCACAGCGTGCATGCATTTTTCAAAATGTACAAATTATGCAACAGTACACCACAAAAATATCTACTATTTTTAACTGAAAATATTAAATAGATTTTCAGTCAGTAGTCTCCATAGTCTATTAACTTCAAAACATACAATAAAGGGGGAAAATGTAGGATTTTCATTTTGTTAATGAATGTTGTCTTTTAAGATTGTTTGCTTAAGCATAAAAAAGCAAGAATCAGACTGCATCTAGACTTCCATAGTTGCAAAAATAAGAAGAGGAGGAAAAAAGGTCTTCAGCATGGTCTCTGAAGACCAGTCTCTCTCAATTATGCAGTAGGAAGACCAGCATAACCTCAACAAAGAACAGTTTTCTAGAACAGCGTGATTATCAAAATGCCTCCATGTGTGGTGTCTTACCAAAGCTCCCTTTGTAGCAAGAGCTCTGGCTGTGAAAACAATAAAGGAGTCATAGTGTAAAAATATTACACATAATTGTGTCACAGGAAACAAAGTGTTATTGCACTCTGAAATCTCTAAATAAAGCCTGTCAGGCATCATCATTAAAATATAACAGTCATTTTTATTATTGTATGTTACAAAAAATAATAATCACCGATTAAAAAAGTCACAACTTTTTAATAAAAAAATAAAATGCACAAAAGATAATGGATGACACTGGCATTACAATTACTATTTTTAAGCAATAACTGCACTTCAAATGACGTTCCTAAAGACTCTTAGGAAGTTGTTGGACAGATCGAGTTGAAGAATTCCTAGTTTGCAAGTCCAAACAGACCACTAGACTATTCCAATTCTGGTTTTGGCAACAGTGACCTTTTACAGAGAGACATTTCCATGTGATATAACAGTTTACTATTTAAGGTGTGCTAACAACTTATCAGTTGCTAGTAAAACTCAACAGAGGTTTAATCATCTCAGCAGTGAAAGAACACTCAAACAACAGTAAGATGAAATGTGAAAAAATCATTTTTTGAGCACTGCAAGGGGAAGGAACTGTTCCGGACAAAATGTTGAAACATCTGCTTTATGGGAAAGCTTGTAAGTAAAGGTATAATCTTTCACTAGACCAACTAGTACAGCTGGGAAAGATAAACAAGCTTTCAAGCAGACAGACTGTATGTAGAAGAGATTTTACTTATGTTGTACAGTTACAAAGTCTCTGTATTTCTCTTCCTCTTATAATGCTCAAAAATATGGAAATAGGTTTGTATCTTTGAGCTCTGCAGGAACAAAGAATCCAAATAGTTCTATTCTGCAGGTGGGAACTCACCCTTTGTGCAGCAAGAGTCTGACTACTTTCACGTAAAGCAAGAGATGTGAAATACTGGACACACGGATCAAGACCAGTCTGAGGTAAAGATACTAACAACAAGCGAAGTTCATCTTCTATGGGATAATCCTGTGCAAAGTAAGGACAAATAGCTTTTAGTTCTGTTCAAAGCATGAAGCAAAACACAGAGAAAAGAAAGATCTGAAATAATGTAATCAGCCACATTAATAAGGCCATAAAATACAAACTCCGGTCTTGGAGTGCTCTGCAACTTTGGTTTAATAGTTACGCCTGTGAAGACTTTGGAAACTGATAATTCTAAAACCACCGGGTGATGAAAAGTAAGCTTTAAATGTCATACTTTAGTGGCCTTATTCTAACAGGTCCAGAAGGGCAAAAGAAAAAGCAGTTCCTCTTGGCACAGGAAGCTTAAAAGTTCACCCTTAACTACACAGTAATTTTGGTGCTGCTCCATTAAAATGAATGTATAAATTACTAGTAAAAAATACAGACAACATTTCTTTTAATCTTTTATCTTTAAAATATTCATATAGTTGTTGGTTTAATAATCCAGGGTAGGTGACAGGAAAACAGATTCAACAAAATAATTTTATTTGCCCAGTCACGGAACTTGCAGTTACTCTAATCCTTGCTACAATCAGAGATGGAGACCTATCTGATGCGCAGAGCAACACTTCCTGCCACAATGATTTGCTTCAACTTCCTAAGCAGCAGATTGGGAACTCTTAGCTTCAATCACCTAGTAATCATACTGCTGAAAAAATAAAATATATACAGAACCGTATACTAGTGTAACCTACTACTTCAGGACTGACAGGTACAGATCCACCATCATGTAATGTTACAAAGATAATAAAGCAAAAACTGAGAATATCGCTACCAATCAAAGCTGGTTTTCAGAGTTTTGTTGGATAAGATGTACAGGTATTCTCTGACAGGGACCTTTGCCAGCATTCACTCTATTAGCATTACAAAAGACCTCTTATATTATGCTTTGTGTACCAATTCTGTTTACTGAAGAAGCTGATATGATGACATGATTGATCAAACCATCATATATATATACTAATTGACATAATATATATATACTAATTGACATAAAAACAAAACAAGGTCAGATCTATCCAATACGGATTTGTTGGTACCCAAAAGCTGGCAATGAAGAGGTGGGCGTACAGCAGGCTTAGGCATAAAGAAAACAAGGCTGGTAGATCTTACTGTAAGTAAAGAGAATGGGGAAGAGCGACATCTCCACCTCAGAACCTTTGGAGGCATTTGGGAATTTAAGACAGATTACTTAAAGCTGTTCCAGATGTTACATATTTGCTTGTCTGATTAATTCTCCCTTACTGTATCGAGGTACAATGCATTTCAGCAACTAAAATCATACTTACTGAATTTTCTGTTGGAATACTATTCAATTAAATCTAACAAGTACCGTGATAACTAAAGTTAAATAAAACTTAGTTAATAGTAATAATACTAAAGCTCATCTCCAAACGCTTTCTATAACTTCTAAATTCACACATAAGTAGATTTAAGATATCAAAAGGAGAAGACAGCAGAATTTTTGGTGAAAGACAGTGAGCATGTCTACATTAGTGATTCAGTGTGTTGGAGGAATTTTTCCAGGCAGCAAATCTGCATTACATCTGCACTTGGGAGTCACATGGTGCAGTCAAAATGATTTCCCTACTTATACAATCAAGGTTAAAGCTGCATGCCAGAACGCTATCTAGAGCACCACACTAGCAGGAGTGCTCTCTATGCATAGGATTCTGTCAGTACCAACGAGGCAATCTAGGATGTCTTAATATAAGACTGCTTTGCATTGCCTATTAGGTACAGACAGGCAATGCGTGCATCAGACTGGTAACTGGCTCAAACTTCACTGCTAGTAAATGTGTAATGTGGACATACAGTCCGAGAACAATTATTGATCAAACACCCATCCTTACTTCTTTCCATCATGCCATTCACTAATGCAGATACACCCTAGGGGCATATCACTATATTATAGTTTTGTATTTTGGTCTTGATTTTACTAGTCGTTAGTTACTTTAGAAGAAATCTACTTTAGTATGGTTACCAACAACGAAAGCACTAAAAGCAAACAGGCAAGCAGAAGTCATCTAATACCTACTTTTCATTTACTTACATTCTTTATTTTTGGCAATGGTGGTGGAGGCAGGAAAAAGCGAAGGTCAACATCTTTGGATCGAGCCAAACCTATAGCAGTCCTTTGATCACAGGTTTGGGCAACTGTACCATACTGATAATCTGTAGTACAAGAACTTCAGTGTTAGGGTTAAAACTAACCTTAAATATTTCATTTGGTTTTAAATGTAGTATCTGATCTACTTTGTTAATATACTTGAAAACAGAACCACCTCTCTGCAATCTACATAAATAAGCTCTGATTTTGTAATCACAAATTCCAAAAGACAAATTTTGCAGTTGTTAGACCAGCACTATACTGAAGAAACCTGGGCACTAATTGTTCATTATAGACCACTTTGATAAAGGTCCTCAGATATAAGTTGAACACAAGCAAATACAAATGTTCAGTATTGCCACTGTGAAAGGAGTACGAAGACTACAAACCCAAGCTTAATCCCCTGGGCTTGAGTTAAAATTTCAAAGGCATATGCATATTTTTTTCTGCATACAGTATTAAAACCCAGAGCCTTAAATCCAAATGCTGCCAAGACATAGACACCTAATTTTAAATGATACAAAAGCTATGCTTCAATAAAATTGTTGAAGTCACAAAATCAGGTGACCTCAGAAAAGACAGGATAGCACTAAAGTACAGTTTTAAGTAGCCCTTCCTTACTGAAGATACAAAACAAGACTTTCAGTTACCCTACTGAAGGGAAACCAGACTTAAACAGTAACTACTGTTCCTTTCCAAAACCTAACTATTTTATAGCTGGAGAAATTGAAAACTACATACTGAAATTAAGTGGCAAACTGAAGGAAAAGAAAATATAAAGTGGATCAATACTTATTCTATAAAAATTAGTTTCTATCCTTGTTACTGTTATACAATTCTACAACAAAACTGACAAGCCATCTAAAATATACTTTTCACAGTCACAGATCTTTTTTCTTTGGTGCAGATCACTTAGAGCTGCAAATTGAAGTCACTGAAGTGGTGCTTTGGACAAGCAGAATACCGTTACGATAACAGGTATGCTGAACAATTTGGTCCTAGCTGTGAAAAGTTAGCAAGTTTTCAGTCTTCCAGTTTCGGAATATCAGGTTAAAAAAAAGCCCGTTTCCCTCATGAGGTAGTTGGCAAGAATAATTAGTGTTTCCGAAACATCCAAATACTACAGCAAAGGAGATAACAAAAAGCAACTAGATCCCCAAGTACTGGCCAGCTTGTGCACTGCGATCACATGCTAACAGTATTCTCCTACAAACACGAGATGATTACACTAAATTAGTACACATAGCTTCAGTTTTGGTACAGCCTAGCTTTCAAAAGTTTTCAAACACAGCTTTTTGATGTAAACTGCTTGGGGTAATTAATTAGAATTTTATAAAGGCAATCTGAAACAAGATAAATCCCATGGCGTGGAATTGCACTGGAAGAGTGAAAGGTCCTCAACTGACTGGATTACCAGAATAAGAGAGTCAATATTAGTGTGTCACCTAGTTTATAAGGACTAGTAATGGAGGGGGGAGGCAGACACACATATACACCCGCCTCCCCCTTTAATTGGGGTTTCAAGAATATTCACTGCTAGAGGAACAGGGAGGACTTATTACTACCAAATAATAACAACTAGGATGGAAAATGGCTTACAAATAATGCTTGCACATACAAGTCCTCTACCTCTAGTTTGTCATTACTACCTATTAGCTCCTAACCAATTTTTATTAACTGAACCATGGTCTTAAACCCGCTCCCCTACAAAGCCTTATAGAAATCACTGCCAGAACTAGTGACCTTGTTAGCAGTTCCAACAGAAAAGCTAAGGAACTAATGAACATGAACTGCTCTCCCACAGCACAGCAGTGGCTGCGATTCTCTGGTGGGGAAACAGAGAGAGGCCTTTACTGCAGATACACACTCTGTATCAGAAGTATTAGGAAAGAAGAATTACTTGAAATGTAAATAAACCCCCCACATTTTAGACCAAATTTCAGAGCTTATTTACACTCCTTGCAGCTACTAGCCATTTTTATGTTGGTAGCAGACTTGGAACAGCTAACTGAGACTTTGTCACGTTTCTGGGATGAATTAGGCTACATCAGCATACGTTACCATGCCAGTGACTGTTGTTTGCCAGGTCTTGTACAGCCTGCAGTCGGACCTCTTTGTCTTTTGACTGACTTCTCTTTAAGAGGAGCCATAAGGCACATTCATGATCTTCTCCATCAAATGTACTGAATTGTTCTTTTACCAGGAAACAAATAAAAGTCAAGTTATTATTGATGAGCATTTTAACAGTCACATTTCTATTTATTGAGTAAAAAAAAAAAAAAATCTGTTTCTTTTAATATTTGAATATTAGTTGTTAACAGTAATTTAGAGTGTAATGTTTTGAAATTCAATTAGTACAATAAACAATGACAGAATGGCATTAGTAAAATGCTGATCCTTAAATTAATAGGATGGTTTTGATTCATTTTAGTGGCACCAAGTTGATATTTCATATATATGTTACACATACACACCCTGGCTGGCACTTACCAACCAGAATTGCCAGCTTCCAGCAGGTGCTGGAAATTATTTGCAACTCTCGAGGCTCTGACCTTGAACAATTAATTTCATAGCACCACAGTGGAGGTACATATTGTTATAACCATTTAACAGATAGTTAAATGAGAACAGATAGTATGCCTCAGGGGCAGAGTTTCTTATATGAATTGAAATTCTTATTTTAAATTACTCTAAAAAGCAGTGACACACTGTTAGAAAAAGACAGTACTGTTTTCAGTTAATATTGGCAATTCTGATGAAAGCATAACATACTTTTCTAAAATGAAATTTTAAGAGTATTTGGTCCCCCAAACACCTTTTGTGTACAAAACTGGTATCAAATATTAGCCTGGTATCTTAAGCTTCAAATCTCATCTGAAACAGGAAAAAAAACAATTCAAATCTCTTCTTAACCATTACTTTCATTTACTTTAAGAAAAGGAACGGTTTTAATACATGGAAAAGATACTAATATTCTAAATTAATACAGAAAATTATAGTAACATTACCACTGTTTCAAACTCAAAAGAACATGTTGCCCAGAGAAGTTGTGGATGCCCCATCCCTGGAAGTGTTCAAAGCCAGGCTGGATGGGGCTTTGAGCAACCTGGTCTAGTGGAAGGTGTTCCTGCCCATGGCAGGGGGATTGGAACTAGATGATCTTTAAGGTCCCTTCCAACCCAAACCATTCTGTGATTCTATGATGATTCTATGTTAAGCTTGTAAGAAAAATTATTTTACATTCTACAAGGATTAGGTTTTACTATTAAAAAACAATAATCGTAGATAAAGCCATGCTTTCAATACCTACCATTAAAAGGTCTCCGGAAAATTTTAGCTTCTGTTTCTAGAATTTTCCTCACTGCTTTATGGATTTCTTTTCTGGCTTGGTATGTGATCCCTATGAGAGTATTTTTAGATTACTGGAAGTCTGAAAGACAGTTCTATT